TATATATAATTTTTTTTACACATTATTTAGTATATTTGCATGACAATTTTTATCTACATTAAAATATTACTCAGTAAAAAATAGTAATGAATCCTAATATTTAGCGCTAAATTGGCAACACATTATGGCTAATACATGCTGTTTCTATGGCATCTATAGTTCAACTTGACCTCAAGCCAATTGCCTGGCGCTAGTTAAAGATTCGAGCCCCCTAAAACCGAAGAAAAACCAATCCGCAGCGACTGTTGCTGTTAACAACAACAACAATAGCAATAGCAACAGCAACAGCAACAATAACAAGAAGAAGGCGCACGACTCGTGCACGACTCGTTTCGTTTTGTTTTCGGACTCATGTCGTTGCTCTGCTCTCGCCGCAGTCGTTAGCCGTTCGTGGTTCGCCTGCGATTCGTGCATTCAGTTCTCGTTTAACAGCGCCGGCGAACGGTCAGAGCATAGCGGAAAGAAAAGCGCCGAAGCCGTTTGCAGCTGAGCTAAGAAAACTGCCTGCGCAGCCAGGAAAAGTTTTTCCCGTGTTGTTGAAAAATTACGCGCGCTCGCTTGCGTCGCACATCGATCATTTGATGAAAGGAAAATTTATATGAAATCAAATTGAATTATCAGATAAAGAAAATAGAAAACAAAACAGAATAAATATCATACAAATATTGAGAGAAATAAAGACAGAGAAACAGAGACAGACAAAGAGAGGCGAGAGAAGTCTACCCCCCGCGCTGCCTTGCAACAGCCTGAGCCAAGCTTTGTTATCGCGTGTTTTCAATGTGTGTATATTATAATATTATTAAACATAATATAAAAAACAAAAACAAAATTAATACCAAAATAAATGTATTACAAATCTGAAATGTGCAACATTTAGTGAGCGCAATTTGTTGTTTTCAAATACGCTTCAAACAAGCCTCAAGCTAAACAAAATAAACACAAGAACAAATTGGCGCGCAATTGGCAATTGCAGCCGCTGCGCCCAGCGTTGCGTTTTACATAAATTGCAATCGCATTTGCATTTGAGTTAAGGCATAAACAATAAACAAATACAAGCAAGTAATAGACAATAAATTAACTAGCGCGCGCGCAGCTAAGCTAAGCGCAGCGCAGCTCAGCTCAGCGCAAGTTCAGCTGTGGCACAACGTGGCGTATGCGTAATTTGTCATTTAAACATCCTCCGGAACTGACTTTTGAGCCTGTGCAGGTGTCTGTGTCTGTGTGTATGTGCGTGGCACGTGGCGTCTTGGCTATCAATTATTGGCCGTAAACAGAAAATTTGCGAAAATTTGTTATTTAAAGTGCGACCGAGGCAACAGAAATTGAAATTGAAATTGAAATAGAAGCCAAACAGTCGCTGGTGGACAGACGACGGACAGGCGTGTGGAGCAGTTGAGCCGTTGAGCAGCCGCACAAAGCAATTGAAAAATGCGATTCATATCGACAACAATAACACAAAAAGAGCAACAGCTAGTAGACAACGACGACTCCGCCTCCAGCAGCAGCACCACCATCGCATCCTCCGACACCACCGCCCGCTGCTGCTCCGGCTGCTGTTGCTGCTGCTCCTCGGTCCGGCAACATGTCAAGCATAATTAATTTTCGATTCTGCCTGCGCCGCCGCCAATTTCAGCCCGTCTCCATCTCCGTCATCGCCGTCGCCGTCGCCGTAGCCGTAGCCGTCGCCAACGCCGCCGCCACCTCGTCTACGTTTCTGCAATTGTGCTGAAAGTCAAGTCGATTGCCTCCCGCCGCCAGCTGGAAGTCGATTCTACGGGTAAACTTTACCTCTTTACTTTTCTTTTGTAATTAATCTTTTTTTTTTTTTTGTTTTTGTTTTTGTTTTTTGCTGCCTTGCTGTTGTTATTGTTATTGTTGTGCTGTTGTTGTTATTGCCTGACAATAAGTACGTGTAGAGCGCGATTTTGTTTTATTATAATGAGAACATATAAACGTTTTGCTATCTGCCCGCCGCGTGCACCCTGCCCCGCCCAGCTGCCCTGCCCGCTGCCGTCGCCTCTTTACTTGTTTCAACATTTTGCGAAAATTGTTTAATTGTTTGAATACTATTATCACATTTTACGAGAGACGCAGAGACAGACAAAGCGGGAGCGTAATAGAGAGAGAGAAAGAGAAAGAGAAAGAGAGAGATACTGTTTCTCTGAACACTTGTTCTGGTGTCTCTCACATACAGCCTATCTCTGAATGTCCCCGTCCTATCCCCATCTGGCCCCCACTCTGCGCACAGTTGTAGAATTTTATGAATGTACGTCGTGTAGTCACAATTGTGAAATGAATCGAGCTGGAATCAAAGCAGCAAGCACTCTTATTATTATTCAAACACTCAAACATATGTTTGCCTTTTACCTACTCGAAGCAATTAACAAATCTGCATAGCATTTTGTACACCTAATTTACAAAGCGGAAATTTACAGTTGAGCTTGTATTTGTTTCTCGTCTTGGGTCTGTTGAAATTGACACATTTGCAGCCAGTTAAGCGTAACGTTGAATACGTTTCTAAATGACACTAAAGTGAAGATTTATAGCAGGAAAAAGTTAAGCTGAAAACTTTAATATAGAAATAGAGTTGAATTTATGAATGAAAATCGTAATTCGTACAAAACACGCTTTAATAATACATATAAATGATAAGCTCTCAATATTTGCCCTTATATGGCGCTCTTGTTCATTCATTTAACGGTGATAGATAATGTTTAATAGTTTAGTGTGTCACAGTGAACAATCATACGAAAGAATGAAAGAGACTTCAAAGGCAGATACGGAATTACTCAAAATGAGCGAGACAGATATAGAGACAAATTAGTAGAAATGCATAGTTAAATATGTATTATCATTATTATTATATATATTATCATTAAAAATCATCGAAGCATACATTGAAAACCTTTAAATCAGCCACCTTAAGCACCAAATCAAAAATTTCTATTCTAGGGAATTAAATATATAGTTTTTAATTAAAAATTTGCCGGAACTAAATGTTATTTGAAAATTTCAAATCATCTGTGGGAATTTCCTAATTTTCCACGATTAGTTAGCAGCGAATTGAGTATATAAAGACATTGAAAACGGGCCTTAGAGACCTTAGAGAGAGAGAGCGTATAGCATGAATGGGTAGCATGTGCCTCAGCTTCTTCATTTCATGCTGATTCAGCGTTAATATTAAAATAATTTATGGGCCAACACAGGTCTTAGAGCGAATTCCTTTTATCTTCTGCACAGATCTTGGAATTGATTCATTTTCAAATGATTCGTATAATTTGGCTCGTGTGTATCTTAAAAATTCACACAATTCGTTCAATGGTGCAAAGTTCCAACTGTAATCGAATTGATAATTGATGTTTGTAGAGTCACTTTATTACGCATGGAATTTGATAGCAACCGAGTCATAATTCAACACTAGTTCAGCTAGTACTAACTATTGCGCAAACCGACTAAATACCTCGCTAATAGATGGTATCTATCATTTGAATTTCACAATTACAACGTATTCATCGCTATAGCTCAATCACAGTCCCATTGTATTGTATGAGTAGACAGCCTATGAATCATATTGTTTATCTCATTAGTAACGATGTGTCAAATTTAGCATGCCCCACATATGTGTACACATCTACTTACTATCTACAACTATATCTCTCATTAATGAGCAAAGATCACGTTTCAAATGCAATTACTACGGCTTGGCCAATACTACTCAATAAATGTTACTTATTTAATGGCAACAAAATATGAGAGAAAAACCCATACGATAACAATTTCCGGCTGCTCGCGAGTTTTATTAAAATGTTGCACTAAAACTTGAGGAATTACAATGCATTCATTAAAGACAACAAAGTACCAGAGAATTACAGAGAGAAGAAAATGACATCAAGGCAAACAAATGCAATAAAAAAACTGAAAGAAATGTTGGTAATAACTGCGTACGCAGTTACCAGTAATATCTCAAAACTGGGCAGAGCGAGGGATGGGACTTGGTATGTGGATTGGCGACTGGGAACTGAGAGCTCGACATCAGGCACTGGGTACTGGGTACTGGATACTGTGGCCTGCGGGGGTTTAACATGGCTTATAGAGTAAATATGAATGCAGACATTTGCTGGCATATCTGGCCAGAACAGACACTCTTTATAAATATATATATATATAGGTGTATATATGGAGGCCACATTGGCTGGCTGGACAGTAGGCAGAGTTGGATGACAGTCAGCCGAGCTTAGACGACAACGACAATTGGACAGGCTCTCTGTGCCTAGGTGTTGCTTTTTATTGTTGATCATGTTGTTGTAGTTGTAGTTGCTGTTCGCTTTATGGTAAAAATGCAACCATACCTGTTTAGCCAACACACACGTACACTCACACAACAGCCCAACTCGTTTGCTCAGTTGCAGGCGCAACATTGCAACTGCAACTGCAACTGCATTTCAGATCTCAGCACTCTAACAATGAAAGGAGTATTTGCAATTTGCCGAAATATGGCTAATAAGTATTTAGGGCGAGTAAAGGCAGAAAATCTATGAGTTAAATTGACTGAAAAAATATTGCATTTTAATATAAAGATATGAATCTGAAAGACTAAGCCGAACTATATAGGAAAGTTCGTATATATTTGTGTATATATTTACTTTATAAAATTTCTCAGAAAATTCCTAAATGCCTTCATGTATATAATACGAGATTAATCTATTATTGAATATTAGCTTAAGCGTTGCCTTAGCTCTGTATTAATTTGGCTTATACTTATCTTATACCTGCACAGAACTCTAATCCTTAAAACTGTATTCCAACTAGACAGACTTGTATTACTACATACGAATAAGTTAAGCATTAGCTGTTGCTGCAGTCCATTCCCTAAGCTCTTCATCCAAATTGCAGGGTATTCGTCTGCTGACCAATTCATGTTTTATCATACATTCATGTTTTTGTTGTTGTTTTGTTGCGGCTTTTTTTTCGGTGCACGCACCTGTCCCAGCATAGACATGATCAGAGACAGGCGGTCTGCAGGTGTTTTGTTTGCTTTGGTCTAGTTTGCAGTCGCTGCTCAGACGAGTTGGAACTCGGACTCGGATTCGGAATGAAACTGGGACTGGGACTGGGACTGGGACTGGGACTGGGACTAGGATCGCCTGTCGCTGTATGTGTCGGCCAGGTAGACGTCTCGCTGTATCGCAGAGCCGGGTCCTCAGCATAATAATAATCCAGCAATTAAAATATGATCGCATAATAACTCGGCACTCGTGTGTCTTCCTATGATTTATGGCGCTTCTTTTAGCTTTTGGCTTATTTATAGACTCGGCCAGTCGCTCTCTTGGGGTAATTGTGTTGTTGCTGTTGTTGGTGTTGTTGTTGTTGTTGTTACTGTTGCTGGTGCTGCTGTTGTTGTTGACTACTTTTTTTACGCATACTTTTGCATTCGCTTAAATGTAAATTGTTGTCGCCAAGCGGCAAGCGCCAGACAACGAAACGCGTTCGCCTGGGCCGGCTTGGCTCGTTTGACTGGCAAAACCCAAAGACAAGAGCCAAAGCCAAAGCCAACAGAGCTCCTCAGCTAAATAGCAGCAGCAGCAGCAACAACAATAACAACAAGAACAGCAGTCATACAAATAAAAACAAAAACAGTGCAAAACGTAGCACAACATTTGATACGCCCCGGCTCGACTAGCTCGCTGCAGCAAGTCGGGGCCGGCGGGTGGAGCTGTTGCTTCTAATAAATAATTTTAAATGCTGACTACAAAAATCCCAAATGAATGGCCCAATGAATGGCTGGCTAGCTGGCTGACTGGACAGACTGACTGACTGACTGACTGACGGGCAACGGCCAGGCGCAAGCCGAAGTGTGTAACCCAATAGCCAAAGGCGCGCTCTTAATTGACTGCGTGGGATGCGAACGTGGATGTGAACGTGGCTGCTGTTGTGGATCGCTGCACAGCTGGTAGCTGCGGGCCATTGCCTGATGGCTGTTGGCTGCTAGCTGGAGCTGCTGACTGCCAACTCTGCTGACTATTGCCTTCAAGCAGTTCACTGTAATTGCTAGCTTGTAGCTGTTAGTTGTTAGTTTGTAGCCGCCAAGTGTTTGAGGCAGTTGCCACCACTTGCTCGTCCCCCCAGCAGCGGTCGCACATTTTGGGGGTAGCTCGCAGCCGACAACAGTCTAATGACGTCAGCTTTGTCGCCATATGTCTATATGCCTCAACTAAGCACACATACGCACAGCCGCCATGCGTCATCCACGCAGGTTGTCGACGACGACGGCGGCGGCAGCGGCGGCAGCGTCTGTGTCTGCACTGCAATTTCACCATGCCCCCACTCAGACGCTGTCTGCGTCATGTACAGCATACATGCTCTTACACGTACAGTTACACTCCCACACAAACACACACACACACACTTAGCACACACGGCATTCTGGTGATAATTTCGCCATGACACGCAAAACTGAACCAATTTGTTTGCACATTCCCCCCTTTTTATTGTATTCTCGTTGYTGTTGTTGTTGTTTTGATTGTTGCAATCCAAAACACAAACTAATTAATATTTACAAAAACAATAGCACACGCCAATGAAAATTCCGCCGTCGCTTTAGATAAGCCTATAAATAGCCCGAGCCCGAGAAAAATAATTTTGTGGCAGACTGTGCGGCGTGCTGCATTTAACGCAATAGACATGAAGCCTATGTGTGTATGCGTGTGTGTGTGTGTGAGTGTAATATACTTGTATGGGTGCACTTTTATCTAAAAAGCTTTGCGACGCTACGCTATG